ACCAAAGAACAGGGGTGGTGGCTGGACACCAGGAAATCCCCCATTTACTACCCAAGATAGAAAACATCTAAGATTGAACAGAGAGAAGGATTGGGGTGAAGCTAGGAGGCGGCCTAGCCTGTGAAAGAGATGATTAGAACAACTGTTTGGGTTAGAATTTGCATGTGAAAAGTTTCTTAGTGTATTGGGATTAGCTGGCCTATTTTGTTTATTTTGGCTTAACTTACTTTGATCTGCCAGTTTTCATTGGCAAGCACTTAAATCGTACTATTTATAAACTTAATAAAAACACTTTTGTTTATTATCAAGCTCGGTGTAAAAAACTATTACGGTGGGGGTGAGAGCACTGTGCATACTTCTCTTTCATTGATACAGTGGGCTGAGCTTAAAAGCTTTCTCTGTGTAACATTTTTATAGAGTAAGATTGATTTATTTGGGATTTTGATCCTTTTTGGGGCTCTGTTCCTGGTTGTTGCCAACGGCCCTATAGCTGAGCCCTCCTACAGCTGATTCAGCATCAGTGTTGCACTGCAGAGGTGGATGTTACCCCAACTCTGTGCCTTGGCTGGGAGAGACCCACCTGCAAAAGATGGAATCTAACCCCTCTGGGTGGAGGTCCCAATCGTGATCCATGGCGAAGTTGTGGTTCAGAGTGTCTGCCATGGTGTTGTTGGCTCTTGTTAAGTATGCTACTTTTAGTATGACCTCATGCTGGACACACCAATTCAAAAGGCGGATCGCCTCCGCACAGAGAGATCGGAAACGTGCTCCTCCCTATCTGTTTATGTAGAACATGGTGGTCATCTTGTCCGTAAGGATACAGATGGTTGTGTTGGTGATGGATGAGGTAAAGTGCCTGCATGCACTGAATGGTCGGGGGAGGTCAGGCAGGCCCTTGACCAATGTTTCAAATTTGCTGCTTAAGGGCCTGGCCATCAGAGGAGCATGGTTGTTGTTTGCGGTTCCTCCGGGAGCACTGTCTGAAGCAATTGTACTCATATGGTCTGTATTGAGTACCGTTATAGTATGAGTCCCTGTTTTTATTGTAGGGGGTGCAACGCCTGTGCTTGTATAGTGGTGTGTATATTCCTAGGGTACGCAACGTGATACACAAATGTTTACTGTTGTGCAGGATCTCACCACTGTTGGTTGCAAAAAGCTTGTGCTTATGGAAGGGGAGGTCCTTCACTTTAGTCTGAAGTTCCTTTGGGACCCCTGAAGCTATGATGTTCTCCTCATAACCACAGATGTAGTAGCTATACTTGCTGCAGTATCAGCAATATCAATTGCAGAGAGCAATGCCATGCGAGCAATGGTGTGACCTTCACTCATGATTGCCCTGAGGAAAGACTTCTTAGTGTCTGGCAAATGCTCCATCAGGTCAGCTAATTTAGAGTAATTATCAAAATCGTGATTGGCTAGAAGGGCCGAGTAGTTTGCAATCCTAAGCTGTAGGGTGGTAGAGGAGTACACTTTTTTCTTATCGGCTTTCTTGCAAATTGGCTGGGCCAATGCTGGTGTTTGCCAGATGTTCTCAGACACCTCCATAATCACCTCGTCTATGGGCAACGTGATTCTGCACTGTGATGACGGGCGAATACTCTTTAGGAAATGGTGCTGTTTCTCCTTGACCTCCTGTAATTTTATTTCTTGGGTAGCAGCGACCCTTTTAAAAAGATTTTGAAACTGCTTCAGGTCCGCTGTAGTATGTTAATCATCAGGGGCTATAGCCTCCTCAGGAAGGGAAAAAGAGTTGCCTTGTGGTGACTGTGTTGTCCTGATCATCAGATATTTGACCGTCCTCCTCTTCCGAGTCCGATATGGTCCCGAGTGTGGGATGGTGAAGTTGGCAGGAGCTTTTTCGGTGAGGGTTGTGGGCCACCCAAATGGTACTTAGGCGGTGCCCAATAGTCCCAGGGTGCTCAGTGCGGTGGGTAATGTGGAGGCGGGTAGGACCAGTTTGGATGCCACTGAGGATGGTACGGGCAAGCTGTATAGCGATGACCTTGCTGAGATGTAGTGGGAGACAAATACCGCGAGGAGATTGCGCTCCTCTGTTTGTAGTTGGTCACCCTTATGCACCCGTGTCCATAGTGTGGGGATGAGTATGATGGGTACAGTGCTAGGGACTACTCCCTTGATAGGACTGAAGAGGTTGTCTGTGCTCACTGGAACTCTCCCTAAATTCCTTGTTGTTCATCAGCATTTCTTTAGACCCAGTCTGGCCTGCCTGCAAGCTGACAGTAGCCTGCACCAGAGGAGGCACTGGAGAAGTTGTCGTGCTGAGTGGCGGTGCCGAAGATTTACAATTTATGGCTGGCTCCGCTCCATTCACCAGTGCCGCACGTGTAGGTACTTGCTTCGGCACTGGGGTTTGTCTGTGCGCTTTCCCTGGTGTAGAGGATGAGCATGCAGTTGCTGTGTTCATGCTCAGTCCTGGAGCAGGTGCCGCTGAGGCAGAGCTCGGCACCACAGAACTGGAAATGGCCACCACGTCTCCCCTGGTCATTCTGGGGGAGGGATTAAGCAGTAAGGATCTGGCAGGTGAGACCCTGGTCCTTTGATGCTCCTGAGGTGTCAGAGAGGCTGATCTGTGTTGGGGAGGGTCTGCTGTTTGATCTAAGGAGAGCTCTCCCATCGGCTGTAAAGCCTTCTCCAGAAGGGGCATTCAGAGCATCCGCTTTCGATCTTTTCTTGCCCTGGCCCACAAGCTTCTACAGTGTTCACATTTTTGTGGGGTGTGTGACTCTCCAAGACATCTAATACAGCAGCTATGACCATCAGAAGCTGGTATGGATTCATTGCAGTTGCGGCATTTCTTAAACCCCTGCGAACCAGGCATATTGGAAGCTGTTGGTACTTGGGGCTGAGGGGGAAGGTGATCTTATTTCAAGCGTTGGCAAGCTTGTGTATAAAGGCTGCCGTTTTAGTAAGTCTTTAGTTTTCCCCCCGATTTTCTTCTTCTTCCTCTGCCGTTTTTGTTTGTTTGTTTTTAAAGAATGCAGCTGGCTGGGACAGAGAGAAGCCGCTGTCACTGAAGTGGCTGGGGCAGAGGGAACAGCCTGTTCCCCGGTGTGTTTTTTTTCTTCTTTTGAATTGGGAAGAATGTAACAAGATGATTTGTAAGTGAATGAGGTCAAAAGGTGGTGAAGAGAGTGAGAATTTTCCTGTGAGGAGAGAAGTGCCTGAAGCAGCAGGGGAGCTCCGGCCTTGACAGAGGGCGGTAGAAGAGGAACTGAGGGGAGGGGGTCGGGCTGCGCTAAACTGTCAAACCGCCAGCAGCGCGAGATGCTTGCTGAGCATGTGCGGCCCAACTGCTAACTGCTATGAAAAAGTCTCTGATCCTGCGGCTCCGAGGAAGACTCGTCACCTACAGTGGCGCACCTACGGGGACATCACCCGAAGAAGAACCAATACATGTCACTTTATCTGTATTTTTATTTTCCCCTAAAGGGACTATTATTTTCCGCAGTGCTGTTTTTTTGTAAGACAAAAGGTGCCAGTACTCCAGGCTCAAAGTTGTTGAGGAAAAAAAAAAGAAAAAAAAAAGAAAAAGCCACGCCACCCCAGGAAATGGGTGCCGGGGTGTACTGTCGCAAAAAAAGTACTGATTTTTCGAGTCTTGTGAGTATTGAAATGTGTAGCAGAAAAAATATTTCTAAATGCTTAAAGAGGGCGTAGTCCTGAATATGTGGGTAATCCTGGGAAAATTCTGAGCCAAAAAATTTAAAAGTCTGTGCACAATGTTTTAAAATTCTACAATTTTTATTTGTCAAAACAACAGTATATATTCACACCAATTTCAATTATTTCAAAATACCTGTCAAGTAAATTGGCAACAGATTAATGTGAACAATCACAGCAGAAGGGGATAGCAATAGTTTTATTTGAAAGATCCCTAAAGTAACTCTCAGTGAAGCAATCACAAATAAGGGAGCTGTCTCATCAGGTTAAGTGCTTCTCTGAACCCTCAGCAGTCAAAAGGACTTCCATATCCACTCACCATGAAAACCGCCAACCCTGCCATCAGCTCTCATCCCCTGGTTGTTTTCCCTCACCTCTCCTTAAATACATTTTCATGAGGTTCTTCCTCTCCACCTGCTGGAATTGTGGCTTCAGGTGAGGGAGGTGACATGCAGTTTGTTTACGTGAACCTTCCCTCATTCCCTGATATGCAGCTACCAAGCACAAAGACAATATTTTTTGTCTTTTGTGCACTACTGTATGTTTCAATCAGTCCAGGCTGCGAGATATTCAGACAAGAGAGATCTGAATAAGGATCTTTATATTATTAACCTGTAACATTTCTAGAACACCTTCTTAAATAATTTATACAATTTATTTATTTAATTTCACTCAGCTTGGAAAGCAAAATTGAATATTGGTTTTAGTTTCTAAATCCATTTCACCTTCTAGTTTTCCACAGAAGCACAACACTGCTGTGTTGAAGTTTGCAACACTTCAAGGAAATGTTGATATCAAATATTTTCATTATATTAAAGAAAAATAATAACTGTCATATATTGCAGGGTTTAGAAAGTTTCTTTCCCTCTCCTCATTTAACAGTGGTTGATATTAAAGCATCAATTGCCAACAGTTACTACAAAGACCAGTTAACTTTAAGCTTAGGTTTAGGAAACACTGTAGTACTACTCTATGCACTCCTCAATGAAGGGCCTCGGACATTATTCCAGAGGAGGAAGGCACCCCGCTAGCGGGCCTCCCCGGAGGCCCAAACGCCCCACCGTGGGCCGTAAACCCAGACCCCCAGGGGCTAGATCCCCCCCTACCGCTGTAACCCAAACCGGCTACCGGATGTACCCATTCACTCAGCCATACTTGTTCCAAAAAGTGTCTATTGTAATGTATGTATTGTTTGTCTCTAAACATTCTCTAATAAACGTCAATCTGTTGGCAAATTATAATGTAATATAATTAAATTAACGTGCTAGCCACATTTTAAAGAAGCACTATCACACTGATTATGTTATTTCAGGGGGTTTCATTTTTATTTGAAGATTACTTTAAAAAATCCTGAATAGTTCTAAATGGTCATTGAAGTAAAATTTGACAAAGCATTCTCATTCAGTGTCTAATGAAGCATTCATATGTTAAAATCACAACTTCCACCTTACCAGTGCTTTCACCTTACCAGTGCTTTCATCATTCATTTACATTTTCATGTCTGAGTTCTAAATAAAATGTTAAACTACATAAGGAGTTTGACATAAAATGTCAAACTACATGCATCTGACGAAGTGGGTCTTTGCCCACGAAAGCTTATGTTCTAACACTTCGGTTACTTTATAAGGTGCCACAGGACTCCTCGCCGCTTTTACATAAGGAGGAAGTGCCTTCTTTCTCCTTTTTAAGTGGCAAAATAAGTGCTATTGAAATGAAAAGAGCAAATTAAACTGAGGCAACAAGGGGTCCTTGAAAGTTCCAAACAGAAAATAAGATGCCACAATTACAGTGCTCTCACACAGAAAAAAAACCCTACATGCCTATTAAAGAAAAGAACATTTTAAATACAGTGATCCCTATATGTGCCGGTAGCATCTTACTATAGACAGATACAAATGGTCCAAAGGTGAATATTAAAGCAAAAACCTATTTCAAATCAGAGAAGAAATTTTGGAATACATTTATGAACTAATCTGAAAAAAAAACCAGAAAAATATGCAAGGTAGTTTATAAAAGTGTCAGTGACCTTTACCTGTCAGAAATAAATAACTGTGCCTCACTAAACCAGAAGACAGAGTCAATATTTTTTGAATAAATATATATCCTGAGTACAAAGAATGTAGTTTTGTTCTATAGATTTCAAAGTATATTGAATTTTGTAATTCATTGCATATTTTGTAGCTCTGGTTACTTATGCTGATGCGATACCAGTCTGTTCATGTGGTATGTTTGAATGAAGAAGCACTTGCCCCCATCCCTGTTCAACTGTCGTAAACAGAACAGTGGAAACAAAAACTTATTACAACTTACAAAACACAAATAATGTTTACACACATTAATAGTTTTTTTCTTATAAACCACTACAAATATACTACAAACACTAGATGGATACAACCCTCCAATTTTCCATGTTCACCAGCATTAACAAATTGGAGGTAGAACTGCAAAGCTTTATATGAAAACAGGCACCAACATACCATCTTTCACAACATTTTACAATTTTTGTGCTACAATAGTAGGTGAAACGGACAGGGTGTATGGAAGTGTTTGGGGGAAGGTAAGTAGTCAATATGAGAGGAAAAAATTACTTACGTCACAACATGGAAATTAATACATATAGTTAAGTTATGGTAAAAGGTGGGGTCCATAAGGATTACAGCAGAACTCCCTATATCCAATCTAACTGGAACAAGAGTCCGGTCAGATCATAAAAAATCTGGATAATCTGGAGAACGGGTAAGTATGAGGTTGCAACACCATTTAGCAGCCAAAGGAGAGACCTTCTGGATCTGTGTGAGCTGGTTATTTGGTTAACGCAGAAAGCTGGATAATGGCAGGTTAGAAAACCAGGGTTCTATTGTACTTTTAATGTCTTTGCTATTCATAGTATACAGGTTGACTAAGAGTATTGATGACAAAATCTCCAAGCAAGGTTCTAATTGGTACTAAAGTTGGAGTTATATCAATGAGCCATCCAAAGGATTTGACTGATCTAGGTAATAAAACTGCATTTGCCACCTGCTACCCAATATAGAAAAAAGGTAGAACAACTAGTCTAGGGACAAAGAACCAATTTTATCAGGTTAATGTGTGTTCTTTGGCTGATATGAAATGCGGTATTTGGAGAACAGCCCTCAAAAGGAGTCTGCTGCCTCTGCTTCCCTATGCAACAAGATGATGTGCAAATTAGTAGTTCTGGACTAGTTTTTCTATTAAAAAAATGTAGTGGATAATTTTGAGCAGAGGCTCAAAGCTTATACTTAGCTCAGACTCTATTATATTTTATATGACCTTACTTGGGTGATTCCATGATATCCACAAGGCTCTCTGGGGGACATGTCCACGTACCGAACAAACAAAAAATTCTCAGCTTTCACTCTTCTCTGTGACTTTCATTGTCTTATCTCTGCCTGTCTCATACTGAAAGCTATTTTACCCTGTATAGCAGCAAGCACATTATCAATGCTTAATAAGCAATACAATAAACATCAAACACATGTCTATTTCTGTAGCTTTGATAAACTGGGCATTGATTTTTTGTTTAGGAATATTTAAGGAAGAAAACATTATATTTTCCATTAATCAAGAAAAATCTAAGATTTAATAATAGAATACAGTAATTCCTCATTTAACACATGCCCGCTTAACACATTTTCGCGATAGCACGATTTTTTTTTAGGGAATGTTTTTTGAATTACACAACTGTCCTCGGAATAACATGATTTCCCCAGCCTGCTCGTTGCTCACGGCTGTGTGGGGCTTCCCCCACCTCCCTGCAAATTGGCAGAGGGTTCGCCACTCACTGAGCCGTTCCCCACTGACTCCCTCTCGCCAAATTCCTTGCCCCCTCTCCTCTGCCCCCGCTTGCAGGCCGGCAGCTGGGTTTCCCCAGCTGGCCCGTTGCCGGCAGCTACGTAGGGCTTCCCCCGCCTCCCTGCAAAGTGGCGGAGGTTTCGCCGCAGACTCGTCACAGGGGCGTACTCCCAACCCAATACCCCTCATTTCTCCTTCCCTTCCCTGCTATAACACAGTCCCCTTTCTCCCCCAACCTTATGTCCCGGTCTCAACAGACACCATTGCTTGAAACGCAAACTCCACATTTTCCATTATTTTCAATGGGGAAATTGACACCGTGTAACATGTTTTCACTTAACACGATCATATTCTGAAACATATCTATAGCGTTAAATGAGAAATTACTATACTAGGACTGGAAGGGACCTCAAGAGGTCATAGAGTCCAGATCATTTTGAATTATGACCCGATCCGCCAAAGCAGTCGCAACCCCTCCCAGCTTGGTATCATCTGCAAACTTAGTAAGCGTACTTTCTATGCCAATATCTAAATCACTGATGAAAATATTGAACAGAGCCGGTCCCAAAACAGACCGCTGCAGAACCCCACTTGTTATACCTTTCCAGCAGGATTGAGAACCATTAATAACTACTCTTTGAGTATGGTTATCCAGCCAATTATGCACCCACCTTACAGTAGCCCAATCTAAGTTGTATTTGCCTAGTTTATTGATAAGAATATCATGCGAGACTGTGTAAAATGCCTTACTGAAGTCTAGGTATACCACATCCATCGCTTCTCTCTTATCCACAAGACTCATTATCCTATCAAAGAAAGCTATCAGATTGGTTTGACATGATTTGCTCTTTACAAATCCATGCTGGCTGTTCCCTATCACCTTATTATCTTCCAAGTGTTTGCAGATAATTTCCTTAATTACTTGCTCCATTATCTTCCCCGGCACAGAAGTTAAACTAACTGGTCTGTAGTTTCCTGGGTTGTTCTTGTTTCACTTTTTATAGGTGGGCGCTATATTTGCCCTTTTCCAGTCCTTCTGGAATCTCTCCTGTCTTCCATGATTTTCCAAAGATGATAGCTAGAGGCTCAGATACCTCCTCTATCAGCTCCTTAAGTATTCTAGGATGCATTTCATCAGGCCCTGGTGACTTGCAGGCATCTAACTTTTCTAGGTGATTTTTAACTTGTTCTTTTTTTTATCTTACCTTCTAAAACTACCCCCTTCCCATTAGCATTCACTATGTTAGGCGTTCCTTCAGACTTCTCGATGAAGACCGAAACAAAGAAGTCATTGAGCATCTCTGCCATTTACTTCCCTTCTAAAACAGGTTATTGTTCTCTTAACCAATATGGCCTTCTTCCTAGATTTTATGTTTTTGGCTTTCTTGCACACCTAGGGTACATCTACACTGCAAGACTATTTTAAAATAACTAGTACTGTTCTAAAATAACTTAACCAGCATCAGCACATATTTAGTTAAACATAATAAACCATATTAATGGAAAACAATGAATATATTCAAATTATTCTATAAAACATTAATTACACTTAGTTAATGCCAACTATAGAGCATCATATGATTAGTGTACAATGTCTAACATGTAAGAATTACCCTAATGGATTTTGTTATCAATAGGTCTAAATGCAGGTTTAGTACTTACTTTATCTAGATGTGGGTGTGTGGTCTGTACATGCTGCAGCTTTTTCTGCAAACTGAAAACAAATAAACTTGAATCTTGCATTGTATTACAGTACAGGAGTCAAATACTTAGCTAATTCGTATTACTAAAGTATGAAAAGGACTGCAAGGAATATATAAACATAAATGAGTTATCTAGTCCTGATAGTGTAAAATTCAAACAAGTAGGACAACATAATAAATATGAATATATGTAAAATATTTTTGCTCTGTTTTATTTTGAGATACATATGCAATCCTAAGTAATGTGCACCAATAAAAGCATGTTTTGATCACTATACATATAAAGTCCATATACACATTTTATCTATTATATATAAAAGAGAATGTTTGTATGTCTGTGCGCTAATAACTTGGACACTATAAGAGCTACCGCAACCAAACTTTGCATGAGATAAAACTTTCTCCTGAATGAAAGGTTAAGGGAGGAAAGAGATGAGAGACCGAAGCCTCTCCCCAGGGCTGCACGGAGCTTGACAGTGCGGGGAGAAGCAGCGGGGACAGTCGCTCACTAAGGTTGGTGGAGGGATAACTTGTCATCAAGGAGAAGGTTTTAAGGGACTGTGGGAGGGAAGAGATGAGAGACCGACACCTCTACCAGGGGCTGCACGGAGCTTGGCAGTGAGGGGAGAAGCAGCTTCCCAGGGGAAGTGGTGGGAACAGTCTCTCACTAAGGCCGGCGGAGGGACAAGGAAGCGGAGGGTGGGCTCAGGCGCCAGTGGCTGGCGCGCGGCTCCCTTTCCCCTCCCTCCCTCCTCTCAGGCTCCTCACCTCAGTTATATCAACTTTCCTAAGCAAACGCAGGGTAACTCCAGCTAGTATTTTATAATGGATAGCAGCAGGCATGAAAGTTACTTTAATTACAGCACACTGAACAAATGTGATAAAAGTCATGTGATAATCAGGGAGCCCAGAGAAAAAAAAGTAGCAGTAATCTATACAAAACATGGCCAGAGTATGTTCAAGCATGCTGGAGCAGTAACAATTGTATGAAAGACATTTTTTTTGAGATATGGCATAGGAAAAGCCAGAAAAAAAGTAACAGTCTTGCCATGGCCATTCTGTGAATTGGATCAATGACTGGCTAATACAGATCATGTCAACAATGATTTGATTATATATACACAATTTTCAATAGGCAAAAATTTTTGAAGTGCCTTCTTTGTAATTATTGGCTTTCAGAAATCTTATTTTAAGAAAAATATTACCTATATATTTATCTGCACCTACACTTTCAGAATGCTTCACATTTAATCAGATGCAAGGGATGGAGAGAAATTGTAAAAGGCACTGCTTGAATATGCGCAGATGAACATTTTCCAGCAGATTATGCCTTCAACAATTGTAGCACATATTCAGCTACAGGGAAGCCAAGAACTTCAAAACAAAACATCTGCAAGGTTTAAGAAGAACAGTGAGGGGTAAATAGGCAAGAATGGGTTTAGAAGAGGGGAGGGGGAAAGTTTGTGTGTAGACAAGCTGTTGGAGTGAATTAGTCACCCCAGGAGTCATGGTAAGGAGGGTGTCAAGTTTAATCCTTCACAGCTGGTTAATCTTTGAAGGATTTTCTTTGTTTTGCAACTATACAATACATCTAATGTAAAAGAAGGAATTAAGTACCCATAACTTTAACTTTGTTTTTTTAATCACTGCCATACATAATTTCATAGCTATAATTTCCTTTCTGTAACCCAAACATAGTAAATGGAAAGGACCCTTTGAATATCTTAGTGACATTTGCTAATGTAAACAAAGTTAAAGGGGACAAAGGATAAAAAGGGAATCATTCTTAAAATTAATCAAATAATTTTATTACTATGCAAGTTAAATTTATGATCAAATGGCAAAATACAAGAGTTTACATTTCTTAGTTCTAACATGCACAGACAGCTAGCAAAAATACAGTTTTTGCAAGTAATAATAAAGGTTTTGAAATTAGCATTCACTGTAATACTCTAAAAATGCAGCACATCAATCTACTTATTATCAAAACAAAGGGCAAATTGAGTCATGGGACCAGTATTACTAAGAACACCAGGCAAAAAAACATTGTATTCCTTTTCCCTACTTCAAATCATGTTTTTAAAAGTTACTAGGGGCAGAAGAAAGGACCTGTAGCATTTACTAAAGAAAAGTATACTATGGGACAGCTCCTTTATAGCTGATAATTAAATTAATTCCTAACATGAGACACCCTTGTTACTTTAGTCCTAATCCTATCAAACACACATCATATCACTTTGTGTGATATTTTGTGGTGCAGAATAATCCAATAAGGACCAACATGAAGCCACAACATAAAATTTCACTGTGGCCTAAGACTCTACATTTGAGCCTAAATCTCCAAGAGAGATGGGTCAGAACACACCACATTTTGGTGGACTCAAAATCTGAATTGTACTTTATGGCTCAGAATAATTTTACCCTAACAGAGAAAAGGCTTATGCAGCAATTTACTGTGCACAGAACCCTCAATAGTGTCTCACTTTAAATTTAAGTCTACCTGTAATGTCCATTCTCACTTTAATTATTACAAATTATTTAAAAGAGAAGTGCTGCATGGGGCAAAAATGGTGTTAAAAAACTATGTTAAATAAAACATTTTTATGCATCTCAGACTGTAGCTTTTCTTGTGTCATTTTTTGCTCTTCGTCCACATTGTATATGGCAGGGGAAAGAGATACAATTGTATTATTTGTCAGCTCCGTGCATGAAAATAAAAACAAATGCTGATCAATCAGATACATTTCCAAATAGCATGGCTTGTTAGAACTGTGACTTAAATGTCACAATTTTAATTGTAGAAAAAATACTCAAAATAAAGTATGGTATGATTTTCACACAAAGCCTTATTTAATGTGCAGGCTTATATCAGTAGTTTGAGTACACATTTTACTTTTCAAGAACACTAGAGTAAAGCAACAAAACATCTTTCAAACATTAGAACCTCAAGAAATTCAGAACTAACATCCCAAATAAAGTAACTCATGCTACGTCAACACTATGTCTGTACAAATGCCAGTTTATCGTCACCCTAATTTGCATGTAGCTTACCTACACACTACACCACAGAATGCACACCTCAGAAACTGGTTCTATTAGTTTCATACATATGTTTCCAATATAAACTGCAGTAATTTGTCACTGTACATTTTTGTTCTTTGTGTATAAGTGCACTAGCGTCAAATTATAGACTGATACATTTTTGTTGTTGTTGTAAAGCATACAATGTAAGAACAGAGAGAAAGTTTTAAAGCAGCATAACTCCATACACTCTATTCTGAGCTCAGCGGTGAATCTTTAGAGTAAATGAGTGTAAGGATCTACACCCTGCATGAGAGGAGGATAGCTGCCAATGGCTGTTACTCTTCCCTTCCATACAGGTGCAAAGAATGACAAAATCCTGGCTTCCACCCCCAAAAAGTTGCTGGCCAGCTGGACAGAGAGTGGAGGTGGGGTGGAGAAAGAGTAAGCCTATGTTAGGAAAAGGACTGCTGAAGTTTTACTTCCTCAGTGGAGGAAGTGGGAAACAGGATTTTAATCACAATACTAACTCAGCAAGACAGCTTGATCTCTGCCCTGTTCCTGGGCAGCACAGATACATGCTGTCTCTTACTTGGGCAGGGGTACATGGCAAGATGCCAATCCAACCTTATAGGAATCTGATTCAGACATTGTAGTTAATTAAGACACCCTGGCAAGTGCTGATAAAATGAAACTTAATTTTATGACTGGATAAGGTGACCATTTTCTGATTTTCTGTAGGCATTATTTTGCGGAGGAAGAGTTAAGACAGTCTGAGGGTACGTCTAGACTACCGCATTTTGTTGACAGAAGTTTTGTCGACAGTATCTGTCGACAAAACTTCTGTCGACAAAGAGCGTCCAGACACATTGAGTTCTGTCGACAAAGCAAGCTGCTTTGTCGACAGAACTCCGTAGTCTGGACGCAGTGTTACAGGCAATAACACCTTCTGTCGACAGAACTCTGTCGACAGAAGGTGTTATGCCTCGTAAAATGAGGTATACCAGCGTCGACAAAAATGCTGAGTTCTGTCAACGTTATGTCGACAGAACTCAGCGGTAGTGTAGACGCTGGTATAGTTTTGTCGACAAAAGTCCACTTTTGTCGACAAAACTCAGTAGTCTAGACACACCCTGAGAGACTTAATTGAGAAAAGCAAACTTAACTTGATACTTTCTGGGTGCTACACCTGCAATCCACAGAGAATCTCTAAAAGTAATGTGGGTGAGAACTGGACTGAAGGAATACATAATGAAGATACTATGTGCCCCTTCCTGTGGGCAGGATCAATCCACAGTGAACCACCCTCACAAGTTTTTTAATAGAATAAAAACATGTTTTCCACTGTAAAGTGAACAAGTTACATTTTAAGCTGCCTCTCTCTGGAAGAAAAGAGACTGAAGCTTTTTCTTCTTCAAATGAATGCTAAGGTTTTGTATTGCCTGATGATGTTATTAACGTTAGTATTAGTAACTTTTGTAATTACACACATTCATCGTGAAATGTGTGTCTTGGGCAAAAGATATCGCCCAGTAAAGTCGGAGTTTTCTCTTTGCTACAAAATGGCAAACAAATATTAAAGTTGGCTTTGTTATTAATAACATTTAAGTTTTCCAAATGCAATATCTCCTTGTTCAATTAATTTCAAACGTTAAATAAAACGTGTCGGATGCCTAGGTGATTAATGTGAAGATCAATTAAGAATTTTAAAGAAGAGATCAAAATTGGATTTAAAAGTAGCAACTCAATTGCAATTTTAAAGTGATAATGTCTATTTAGTATGACCATTTCTTATGATTTACTGTATAATCAATTGTGAAAATAAAGATTATAAATTATACTGTACCTTAATCCAGATAAGCTGTCAAAAGCATGAAGGTCTAAAACTTCACAGAGATCAACTCTAAAAGAATAAAGAAACTTTAATAAAAGCCATACTTTTCTCAACTTAAATATTTTATAGTTGTGAACAAAACTACAAAAAAGTTCAGCTACGACACAGGTTTTGGTCGACTTTAAGGAACTAGTTATTTTCTTATTGAAAATATAAAAGCAAAGATATGGTTAAAAGGAAAAATCCACAGGCTTATGGGTCTTGGCCAATATTATTATTAAACATGCCCCCAACAGCAAGTACACAAAGCTGTTTCTAGGATGAAAGATTTTTAAGGTACAATACATAGCATACATAAACCTCTTCTTTAGTTTATGACCAGCTGCGTCTAAACTGTCTGTTCTCAGTAGTACTCCATAAACTCATATTAAAGTCACAAAAACACTAAGGCAGATTGTAAATGCTCCTACCACTTGCATAATATTGGCCTGACAACAGATAGAAAAAAATCTTAAAGGATGTATGCTCTCAAGTACTAAGCTAATATTACTGTTAATCTGTGTAACTATTCCCAGTTTTGAACAGAGTGTACAGATAGACAAACAGTGTCACCTGTGAAGAGTATTTAACCAGGAACATAGCAGTTGACATATGGATCACATCTGAAGCCAGAGGAGTCCAGAATCCTACTGATCAGCATCAAAGTAAGGTGTAAGAAGCCTATAGTAACTCTTTATAGCTAGATAATGACTTCAGCCCTGAAGCATGAGGTTTAATATCCCTTCCAAAAGTGTTAGCATAAACTATAACAACTCTGGATTTTGCTGTTATCCATACAAATGTCCAATTTTTTTTGTATCTTGCTAATTTCTTGGCATCAACAACTTCTAATGATCTGTAATTCACCACTGCATTAAATCCAGGATGACTGAAATACAGCTACAGTCCCCTCCCCTCTCCTAAAAAGCCATTTAGTGGGCAATATGATCCATGAGATGTGTTAAAGATTATTATATACTGCTACGTTTTCTTCATAAAGGTACTTGAAATTGAAAGATTCTGCACTAGCTCCTGCAGAGCATCTCCCTCTGCCACTGCGCAATAAGGGTCTGATTCCTTTATACTCCTTTTCCCATTTATACCCTGCACACAGGTGCATGCATAAGACTTAGGATTTGTCCTGTTGCATGGATGTCACAGTAAGTATGACGAAATCAGCTCAAACACAGACATCCAGATTTAAATGTTGTTCAGCCAATATGCCAGATTATTAGCATAATTAAATCATATACAAAGTGTGAGAACTCCCTCTCCAACCTCCACATTTTTTTCCCCAGCTGGACTTGGGGTCACCATTGTGTTCTCAGACATTATCCTCTCTGTCTACATAGCTAACTGTTGCAATAGCAGAATCACACACATCATTACCAGGTTTACAGTCTGTGGATTCATGATACTAGCAATAGTTAATGAAATCTAGAGTCTTGCTGCAGAAGTTTAAAAAAAAAAAAGCACAAACTTTTAAAACCAAAAGCTGCATTAGAACAAAGGAACTACTGTTAAGGCCCAAATTTATAAAAAAAATGCTCAGAATCCATAAGAGGGGTGATTTTCAGACAGGCCCAGCTCCCATTTAGACAAGTAAATGAAGTGCTCAACATCCAGCAACTTGCCTCTGTTGCCAGTGGTGGCTGCTGAATGCAGAATAGTTTTCAAAATTTAGGCCTAAATGTTAAAAAGTCCACTGAAGTTACTAACTTTTTTGTGTTAAAAAGAGACACATGCTGACTTAACAGACATGATTTTGGTGAGACCACTAGAAAAACAGTAAGTGAGCAATGGGAAACACTTCATAATAAATGAGTTAATGATGAAGGGCCCTCTGTAAGTGCTATTTATTCTTGTTCCAAGTATTCTTCAGCATAACTTCAAAAGTTAATAAGAAAGGAGTGTGAAGTTGCAGACACTCCTTAAATACATTTCACCTTCCTACTTCAACAGAGCAACAAAAACAATATGAGGACAATCCGTATAAATTAACATGACAGTCACTGCAGAGAAGACTTTTCATAGTGTAACTGTTTAGCAGCAGGACATAAAATTTCCAGCACGGAGTAGATTGCAAGCAGAATTTCAAATAAGTTAAATCAATGGACATGTTAACAAGATTAAAATTTTTGTGAACACTGACCATCAGATAAACTCACACACTACCATCTGAAAATTTAATAAAATTCCATGCTGCTACCAAAAAAAAAAAAAAAGGCTTTCAACCTATGTTCCTACATTGGCACCAACTACAGTCTTATCTGAGCACCTCCCATGAGTAAAAATGGCAATCTCTCTTCCCCTTCCCTGTTAGGAAGAAGCAAACTTAAGGGTTTTTTGTTGTTTTGGTTTGGTTTTAATAACTACTGAACATGCAAGAGAAGAATGTTGATGCAAGCAGAGGGTATGTCTACACTACAAAGTTAATTCGAACTAACAGACGTTAGTTCGAATTAACTTTGATAGGCGCTATACAGGCAAACCGATAGTTCGAACTTAATTCGAACTAGCGGAGTGCTTAATTCGAACTAGGTAAACATCATTCTACAAGGACTAACGCGTAGTTCGAATTAAGTACAGGCAGTCCCCAGGTTACGTACAAGATAGGGACTGTAGGTTTGTTAAGTTGAATTTGTATGTAAGTCAGAACTGGCTTCCAGATTCAGCCGCTGCTGAAACTGACCAGCGGCTGATTACAGGAAGCCCGAGGCAGAGTTGCTCTGCCCTGGGCTGCCTGGAATCACCCCCGGGACCGGTTTCACACCGGCACGAAACCCGC